TATTCAAGTTTTATTTTTAGAGATGTGTTAATGTAATGTGCCTCCAGTTGATAAAGAGATTCTGATATGAAATTTCAATAATAATCTATATAATAAGATACCTCCAATATGTTTTACATTTTATATTCAATTAAGTCTTTAACCAGTTATTTCTGTCTGTCGAAGGATTATAACAAGTAGAAGATTTATATGAAGATATAAAATGAAAAGGCCCACTTTCATGAATATAAGACACAACTATGATCTGATTGGCAGTGTTTCACAAGAATATTAAGATAAAAATAAGACCATATCAAGAATAACCATTAATTAAACTTTTAAATTTGGATTATTTCTACTTAATTTAAATTTTGTGTTTTGGTTATCTTACTACATTAAACAAATATATTACTGTAAATGTAAATACATAGCAATCTCCTCTTTTTCAAGGAGGAAGTTAACTTTGAATTGTGCAGTGTCAGAAAATGGTTGAAATAATAATAAACTGACTGGTCTATCAATTTAAACAATAAATTAGGCGTATCATTTCTTAAACAGAGTGGTATCCCAATGCTAAACACATTATGAGGCTAACTCTTTGGCAACCACTGATCAGAATAATTATAAATGTTCATTTTGACAATAAAAATCAATCAAATGCATTCTGAGTGACATAAAGACTTATTCTACTGTATCCATTATATGTCCTTGTGGAAGTTTTAGCACAGATAGATAGATAGATAGATAGATAGATAGATAGATAGATAGATAGATAGATAGATAGATAGATAGATAGATAGATAGATAGATCAGGCTTTTGTAATAAAATAGAACAAAGTTAAATCAAAATCTTAAGGTTGTGCTTAAATTGTTGCATGAGAACCCATTCATTTATATATTTTATGAAAAGCAAGGATATTAATATATTTGTTTGACACATATGAGCTGCAATGAATCATCTTTAATAATCAAATATTATGTTTTGATTCATTTTTTTAATTCATTTTTCCTCTGAGGCTGTGTTTGATTCGCCAACTTTTTGGATTGCATAATTTTATTGCTCTATTTTTGGGAAGATTTTGTGCTCTGCTGTGTGTGTGTGTGTGTGTGTGTGTGTGTGTGTTTGAAATGTGTTGCACTCGAATTAATCTAATTGTTAAAGAAATTACTAAAAGCCTCCAGTTACAGTTGTCATTTAGATGTTTTCGCTGTGATGTTTAAAAACCATCTAGATAGGCAACTGAAATACCTAAGAGGCTAAAAACATGACATGGATACAATAAAATAGAGAACTCATATAAGGAAATGTTTCTAAAAAACATATTTGTGAGTTGGCTGAGGATAATTGTGAATATAACACATACACGCACACAAATTCTCACTATCAACATGAGCTTTGGGCTTTTTGTGTATCTTGTGTATAACTCAGGAAATATTGAGTCACAAAAGTGACATTTTCTGATCACCAAGCAGAAAGTAATTATTTTTTTTCCCATAAAGGCATTCATATTTAACATCCGTTTCTTTTTGATAACTGTTTTTGGTTAAAATGTGGTTAATTATTTCATTAAAATGTCATCAAAATATTTAGTTATGAATTAAGCTCAGAAGATTATGTAAGTTGCTACAAACATAAAAAGCTGAGATCATAGATTCCATTATTCATCAAATAAAAAACACCATTTAAATCTATTGAGGATTTTTTAAATGCATAAATCTATGTTTTTACTTGACCCGTTACACAGTGAAAAACACTGACTGTTTGAACCAAGTATATATTCCAGACAATTTTAGTTTTTTGTTTTTGATTACATTTGTTTTCATTGTTGAATACTATGTGATATCTGTGTGTATTTGTGGATTGAGTAGAAACCAAGACACACAAGAAAAAGACAAACCAAATAGTGGATACAGTGTCCCATGTAAAAATGTGAATCATCCATAAAACATCGACATTGCAGTGTGCAAGGAATAGGATCTAGTATACTGGTAACATTCGACTGTTTATTACTGGCCTACTGTGTGAAACATTTTTTAGTCTTTTTTAAGAAAATTCCGTTTTAAAAATCTTTCTGTATTATATATTTTTTCTTAGAAAATATAGAAAAAGGATCATTTACAGTTATTTTACACATGTAATATCCTCTGGCCTTTCTTTAGGAACAAACATGACTCGTTTTGTTCTTTTGCAGCACATGGTGTTACAGAATATGCATTGAAACAACCAACAAAAGTCACTACAGCTTAGCAAAGTAATGAATTAAAAAAAAAAAACACATACATCGACCTTATACAGAAAAATAAAATACATGCATACATATAGTACGGTGCCATGCAAACAGTCCATTTTTTGGGGAAGTAAATTACTCATGAATTTGCATTTCTTCACCATTGTTCAAACATTTCATGCCTTCTCACTATACATACATACATGACATGGCTTTTACATTATGTAACATTAACTTTTGCAGCAAGTAGCTGAAAAAAAAACAAAAAAACAAATTTCTTCAAGGGCACTGTCTGAAAGATTAAAATGACATTTGGAGAGTTCAATACATACAGCTACTTTCTAACTCCACAAACGCGAGATGTGTTTTTTTAGAATAGTCTTTTTTTTTTAAATCTTTGTTTAAAATTTGCTTGCTAATGTACACATGAAGTTGTCTGGTTTTAGGGATTAGTCACAGAAATATGCAAACTCTTTTGACAAATATTGAGTCATTTCATACTGACTTTTACACCGGTATGAACGTTCTAGCCACTCATCTTGCCCAGTTGGTTGCTCTCTTTGAAAGTTATCGATTCTCTTAGTGGTAAACGCAAAAGGAAGAAGACAGCAGTGTCCCTTCAATGACGTCCATGCAACACCTAATTAGTCCCCGACGAAAATATCGACTGGTCTGTAATCAGCCAGTCACATGCCAGCAGCCTACTAGAGGTCAGAATAAGATTGGTATCTGTATGGGCTGCTGACTTTGACTATTTTTGTTTTTTTCTGAGACAACAATTGACTATCAGGTCAATACAATTTTTTTTTAAATTCAATTTATGATTTGGAGACAGGCAATCATTTCTAAGAAGTCAATTTATGAGACAAGTTCATTTTTTGTGCAACGTTATCTAATGAATTCCAGCAAAAAAAACTGTCAAGACCAACCCAAGACCTGAAGGTGGAGGATCATTTTTCCAATATTATCAAAGGAAAACATAAACGTTAAAATCTCATCTAGACTTCTGTCTGATCCATATACTTTCTGTAATCTGGCTTGATCTCTCTTACAACCATTCTTGAAATGGTCATTCAAAATGAGTGAAACTCAAACATACTCATTGGTACTGCACATTCCTCCTTCCATGTGGTATTTATCTTAATTTCTAAGACCTAGAGTTCATAAAAATGTTAACATTACCACTTTAATATCAGCCTTAAGGACAATAATATTCATTAATGCATGATATATGTATATATATTTTCCGTTCTTCTTGGGGAAACAGAAAACACTTAAATTATTAGAAATATTATCACCTTGAGTGGTGACAAATTTATTGTGCCAGAATGTGTTTAGATATGGAACAACATTGGTATTTAGATTGGGCCTCTGATAACATAATCGATTTAATTCAGTCAGACAGTCCTCATATTTTTATTTTTTCTCATACAACCAAGTTCACCTGGAGTAAATGGGTGTCTGAGTATACAAGAATAAAGTAGTTCAACTTCAATTGTTAAAAAAATATAAGATAAACAATAAAAATTGTTGGCGTCTTAAAAAAAGTATGAGAGCCAAGATTACATTGGAAATACATGATAACAAATTAGCTCATTTTGCATTTTCTTGGGGTAAGTTGACAGGGAGCTACAGGTTTAAGTTTGACTTACTTATACATTTTTCCACACAATTAAGTGAGAGGATAATTTACCATAAGTTCACCATAATTATTTTTATCCCCGTTTTACAAACCTGACAACGTTAAACAGCACTCCTGCACAAATGACTGATTATTTATGATTGACTTTTGGGATGAAAAACTCGCCATCTAATGGGAATTTGAAAAACAACGTTTTTATTCACACTATTCCGCACCACAGCTAGAAAATTAAATCAAATTAAAATCTCTTAATTTAATGACAGTGACCTTTTGTAATGGGATCACAGAGGTAGTCGCTCACAAGTTGAATGTGTCCGTGATCATCAATCTGGTAGGAGGTTAAATATTTCAAGCCGCAGAAATACTCTTTTTTACTTTTTACTTTTCTTTGTGCAATTTAGAATTTGGTTTAGTCATACTTAAAGAATCGGGATTATTGCCTTTTATATACTGCCACTTACCATCCATCTTCATTCATTGCATTTGAATTCATTTCTTTCATCTGAAGAAAATGTTGTTTTTTTCTCATTTAGATAAATGCTCAAAGTTCAATCCAAAAAAGGCAATGTTCAGGATAATTCTTTATAATGGACACAGTGTAAGTCATCTGCCAGCTTCTGCTGTTCAGCTATTTTTAATGTTACAGAAATGCATGCGGAATGTTCATGGCCCACAGTTTCGCAATTTCCACACAATCAGGTTCTTACAGACTTAGAGCTCTAACGGACTGCTATTACCTACTCAGTTATTTTTTAGAGAACTGCGGGAGGCAAACACATAATTGTTAACACTTAGAGGGAAGGACCAACGACAATGTGTTCAGAATTTTAGCAGGTGTGTGGTTTCGGCAATTCTATTGTTTTTTATCCGTCAAATTGTTTCGGAAGAGTATCAAAACCATAAGCATGACACGGTTTGTGAGAGGAGATACAGATATAGTTTGTGAGATACACTGTCCGATTGGAAGTACTGGCTGACCAATGAGGCTGCACTTGACTTTGGCCAGCTAAGCTGCTATTATTTGGGAGTGGACACTCCTTAGGGGACATTTCAGACTCCCCGCACCTCATGAGGTGCCTCAGCATCGACGATTATCAGCAATCCGCCAGTCACAAATGGGCACTGACTATTAAAAAATGAATAATAAGTCAGACGTTCGTCACATGATCAGGATTCTCCCTGACTTCTATACACTCAATCTCTTCCCGTTCTCTCTCTCTTTCCCTTTCCCGCTCTCGCTCTCTCTCTTTCCGTTTGGCCCGTTTTTTCTTCTTGTGTCTCTTCTTGGACGGGGGGAAGAAGGTCAGGAAGACGGGCAGGATGACGAAGCAGTGCAGCACGGTGCAGGCCGCGGTGAGGAGGGAGCATTTGAACAGTGTGTAGGTCAAATTGGAAGGCACAAACACCAGGGGCATGATCCCGATCACGAAGCAGGATGTGTTCTGTAGGATGGCCGCCCCGTGCTCCTCCAGTGCCAGTTTGATGCACTGCGTCCTAGTGTGCTCCGTGGCCAGCACAAAAGTGTACAGGTGCGGTGCACAGTGATCCATGGCGAAGTTGAGAGTATAAATAAGGCACAGGATTGAAATACTGTCCATGCCGACATTCCAAAGAGTCATCAATCCCAAGACGCCCAGCTCTACGGATGTTACCGTAAGGATGAGCCAGAAGTTTCCCAACGGGTTGATGACTAGGAAGAAAGTGAGGATGAGGATCGTGAGGACGCTAAAGCCTGAGGTTAAGATGGGTGATACTACCGAGGAGCTATAGCGGTCCATGAAAACAAACGTGGGATTGAAGGCGATGAATTTAATGCTGTTAATCAGCATCAGGGGGCGGAGCTTTTCCAAAAGCTCGACCACTTCTTCTCGCTTCTTTTCCGTGGTCCGAGCTACCAAGTACAACCTCGAGGCAATAATGTCGTATTCGTCAGTCTCGCGGTTCCTAGAGAATATGATGTCCTCAGTGAAGTGCTGGTACTCTGGACTTCGCAGAAAGGAACCCTTTAGAATGGTGATGAAGTCGCTCTTAGTGGATGCACTCACGTTCACCACGCGCAGGTAGTGGAAAAAGTTGTCCATCCAGGATATTTTGTTAAAGCCGTGACTCAAGGTCTTCAGGTGCTCCTGCACAGTGGAGTTCCAGTATTCAATGGGCTCATATATGTAAAATCCAATAACGGGACTATAATTACTGAAGTATTTCTGCTGGGTCAAAGCGTATGAAACACTCGGGGAGTTACTAGTCAGCAGGTTAACAACGTTTGACCCGTCACTTATTTGTAAACATCCCATGAACGAGAAGGAGGCATAGATGAGATACAGGATGACCACGAATGGTTTGACGTAGGTGTTGGTAATCCATTCGGTGTAGTGCTCTCGCAGGAAGTGCTGGATGAAGTGGTTCTGGTACGGCACGCTGTCGTGGTGCGTGGACAGGTCATGGCCGTCACTCATCATGGTCTTGAACCACGTTGGCTGGCGGTCCAGATACTCCACAGAGGGGATCTTGCAACAGAACACACTGTGGTAACGGTTCTGCTCGAGCTGTCCGGCGAACACCAGGCAGGAGCCGTAGAAGGAGAACACATAGAAGTAGTTGACCAGGATGGCCACGCACATGCTTTGACAGAAGATTTTAACGGACTCGATGTTGGTAAAAGGGCTCGCTCCCATGCCGAAGGTTATGATATAGAGGGAGCTCGTCATGGTGTAGCACACCATCACGTCCGCAAAAGCATCCGCCACACGTTCCTTAAAGGGCAGGTTCTCTCTTGTTCTCCTCCAGCCTGCCAGCAGCTCAAATACCCCTTTAGTTCCATGACCTAGAGAGCAAGAGAAAAAGAATTGTGTTACAAAAAAAAGACGAATTCAGAGCTATTCCTTAGTTATGGCATTATGTATATTGACATTTCATTTGATTTTATAACAGATATTTTAAAAACCTGTATTTTTTTAAGCATATGAACAATCTAGTGGTATCACAATATTGGTAAATATGTCGAGAACAGGTCTCAATTTGAGCTATGCCATGCCATTGTTATTGCACCCTTAATGAGAAAAATGATAAATACCTTTTGGAATAAAATGTTCTAATTATATCAGTTTTTGTTTTCCATCTGACCATCGTAAGTATGAATCACTTCATATTTGAAGTTGAACACACATTGCTCTACTATGTTCCAATAAACTGCACCAAAATCTGTCAGTATCAGTTCCTTTAGTGTGAGTCAAATCTGTGAGATTTCACTAGTCAGAAATATAGACATGAAACCACATTGTGAAAAAAGCATGCTGCAAAACCACCCACACCACAAAACCTGCTCACCCACACTGAAAGTATTTGCAAAATGCACAGGCTACAGGGTGCCAAGTAAATGTGTTACTGTGTGAATTTCCTAAGACGGCATCCATTTGGAATTCATTCAACATAAATGTTTTCGCTAAAGTGAACATTATTTGGTCAATCAATAGCTTTCAGTGCCAATATCAGCTTTAATATGGTCCCTACAAATTCAGCAGGTGAAAAGGAAAATGAATAGGACATTGGCATCCGTAAAATGTTTCCTCTGTTTGACACTGGAAAAATAAGTTAATTAACTATAGAGGATTAAGCCTACGTAATGAGTTAGTTAGATGGCTCTTTCCTGCTTTTAGCTTTATTAAAATGTGCTGTAAATGGCAGAAGGTTGAGGACCATCAGGACCAAAACCTCACGCCATAAAGACAGTTTTTATCCAACAGCAACTGGCCTCATCAACAAGACCAGCGACCCCCACCTATTCTTCTCCCCCCCCCCTCTACCTCACTAATTTACCCAATGCTCCAGCATTTTCTGGTCTGTCGTTGCAGATCAACATTGCACATTTCAATTGTTAATTTGCACATTCAAATCTATATTTTTAAAGATTGTTAATTTGTACATTCAGATTTATACTTTTAAAGATTGTATTTTTCAGTTTTATCATTCTGCCCTATATCTTTATTTCTACTTTTTATTATTGCTTCTCATAGAAGTGTTGTGTTGTGCACTAAACACCAAGGCAAATTCCTTGTAAGTCTGAAAACCTACTTGGCAATAAACCTGATTCTGATTCTGATTCTGATTCTGAAATCAATGAGTGAGTGTAAGCTAGAGAAAGCAAAGAGAGAAAATTCAGGTGCCAAGTTCACCAGGGGTCCAAACACGTATTTCACTTCACGGATTACAAAATAATAGGTTTTATATACACATTTTTGGAATAACACATTCACATCATTAGAAAAAAAATGATCTAAACATTTTCAATTTTTTTATCCATGAAGAATATAAAATAGAAAAAATAGTAAATAAGAATAAGAAGTGGATCATCTACTCCAACCTGATCCTACTAGGAACTTTCAAATATCTTTATTTTAGCATGATGGGATACTGTGACACATTTGCAAAATGGATATCTATGCCTGCATTGAATATCCACACAAATATGTATGTACTGTACAATGGCATATTTTTGTATTTGTTTCTTAGCATGTATAACAATAGACATAGGTAGGAAAAAATTTGATTATTTTAGTTATTCTATATTGACGTTTGACCTGTTGTTCATCATTTTTTACATTGAATTTAAGTTTTTATCATTTTTGTAATACCTTTTGTCCTTGTTTAAGTCGGGTCCCTAACAGGAAGCATCTTTCTAATTTCAGTGAATGAGAAACAAAACTATAGGAGAGGAAAAAAAATTGCTTGTGTTTTTTCAGTTTTTGACAGAATCAGACATTCCCAGGATAATGAGTGGTTGAGGTTTTAACTGTAGGTTAAATATTTTACATATCAGCTAAAGGGTATGTGCCATGCAACCTCTCCTTGAGTAGTGTAGACAAAGTTTTAAATTGAATTAGGCAATGTCTACCAATATTAGAGCATCAGTGAGTGTGTTCCAAAGTTTGATTAATCAGTGTGAAAACAGTCATCACATGACCCAATATCAAAAGCCTATAGCTGTCACACCTGGGGGAAATGTTGGTGTTTTTGGTCTTGTCTCCATGTTGTCTTGTCATTTCCTGTTTTATTTTGAAAGATGCATCCCCTTGTCTCAGGTCACTTGCACTTCCTGTTGTGTTCCCAGTCTGATCGTCTCCTTGATTACCTATTGTCTGCACCTGGGGATCCCTTCCCTCATGTGTTTAAATAGTCCTCGTCTCCCCTTGTCCCGTGCCGGTGTATTGCTTTTCATGACCACAGTGCCTCTCGACCACAGTTATTCCTTGCCATAGTTAAACCTTGCCTCCTGAATTTTTGCCTCCTTTGAGTGCCTTTGTGTTTTTCTCCTAGACGTCCATTCCTAGTGAGTATTTCTTTGTTACTTTGTACCTTGCCCTTAGTCATGTTGTTTTGATACTATGTTCACAGCTTTGTTTTCCTCATAAGAGTGATTATATTTTGATACTTTGTTCATAGCCTTGCTATCTTGTTTTGGTACTTTGTCTCCACTCTGAGAGTGCGCTTTTTGTTCAATAAACCGTTTTTTGGAACTAACCACCTCTCTGCGCCTGAGTCCTCCCTAAACCCCAACCTCCTGACAATAGCTCAATAAATGGATGAGGCAAGTGAAAGTGTGGATAAGGACTGAAGTTTTTACATTCTAAATCATATTTGAGTGATTGTGGTCCATCAAACTAATAAGCATTTTGGCTCTACAAAGACAAAACTTGTACAAGTACCGTTCAACCAAAATAAACCTGTCTGGTCAATTTCCCTGTTTTCACACAAGTTTAACAAAAAGCTGATCCGCATGATTTGACCTGCATTATATTGTGCGGAAAAAGGAGAGGTAACGTTTGCACACTGTTCTCTATGAAGGCATCATGCTTTTACACAATTCTAAAAGGTTTTAATACCCTAAACACCTGTTTATTCAATATATCTTATCAAAAATTGCAAAAGGTTACATAAAGTTCAATCCATTTTCCACACAGATTTGCACTGAGATGGACTGGTGATATGTTTTGGGTGGAAACTCTCTCTCGTCTGATGGGTATTGAAACAATCTCCTATTTCACTGTGAACATATAATAGTAAATATTAAAAAACGGATGGATCCAAGATCTAAAATCAAGTTAACAGAAGCTTCAGCACTCTTGCTTCTATTCAATGCACCATTGACAATCTTGTGCAGAACTTTAACATTTTGTAAAGCAATCTATTTAGTCTAAATCAGCGTTTTTACTTGCTATATGCATATTACACAAATAATCAAAGCTATTAATTTGAGACTATATATCTAAACCAATAATTAATCAAATATTTGGACACCAACCAGAACCTGGCAACTAATGAAAAGACAGAGGGTTATCAAACATGGGTTTATTTTCTGTGGAATATAAGAAGTAATTCAGGGACTATTCCTACACTCCAAAATGCAAAGGAGCTTAAATTTCTAAGACACAATAATACAAATCCGCTTACTTTTTAAACCCTGAGAGAACCCCACGCTACCTAAAGACTAACTGAATGAAATGCTCTCCTTAAATCTGCTGGTACACAGTGTCAAAGAACCCTGCATACACCCATCCATCCATTATCGTAACCACTTATTCCAAAATGGGGTCGTGGAGCCTATCCCAGTGGTCAATAGGTGAGAAGCACCTATTGCCACTGAAAACCCTACACATTAATGCAACTAATTAAACCCGTTACCTTCTTCAAAAACAGAAAGATGGGAAAAACATCAAGCATAAAAGTTGTCAAGTTACCAATCATCATTTCAACAGCTTCTTACCATTTATCAAGTATCATATTCAGTGAAATTATGATTTAATACTTTTGCTTACCAAAAGACTTGATGTAAATTATTTCAACATGGTTTAAGAAACAAAAAATACTTAAAGCAATCAGACAGCTTTAGTTAAATTGTCCCATTTAAGTAGGAATCTGAAGAGTTGAAATATTTTCTAGGACTGAATGGAGGTATTAGGACAATGACAGTCTTCATTACTGTCTATGTTTAATATATATAATTTTAAATTAAAAATTAAGTTATTAGTTGTTTAAAAGTGAAAGCAGGAATTAAAAAATATCAGTGGTGCAACTTCAACATTTTACATAATATTAATGTTAGACCAACTGTTAAAAGGTTTCCTGTATAAGATCTGGAAATATAAATATAATGGGTTATGGGCAAATTTGTTTTTCTAATTGAGAGACTCATTTACTGTTAGTTTCACAGCAAATTAGATTTAGACCTAGACTTCCTTTAAGTTTAAGTGTAATTTGCTTATTATTACATAATGGTTGTAAAAGTAATAGATAATGTACTCGATCATAAGTTTGATTATATTCCACAAGATCTAATCATAATATGAATGCTTTGGTGGAGTGTTGTAAATATACATGTATATATATAGTGCTTTTCTAGTCAAGCTGACTACCCAAAGTGCTTTCCACTATGTGTCATTCACCATTCTCACACATATTCACACACTGGTTGCAACAGTGCCTCAGAGCCTTGCCCAAGGACTCTTCACCATGTGGTCTGGAGGAACATGGAGTTGAACCACTGACCCTCCAATCAGTGGCCAACTGCTCTTTCCTCCTGAGCCACAGCCATCGCTCCACTTAGAAGATTACTGTTTGCACGTTTAATGCCAGTATGTTATGTGGTAAAATACCTGTTCTTTACTTTTTTGTGGATAGGCTGATTTAAGATATAAGGAGTAGTTTGTTTTAATTTCATTGTCTTCAGAATGTAAAAAAAACATCATACACTTTATTTAGTGTCCATTTGAAAACTTGCAATGGATTGAAGCGAATTAATACATACACGTATATGACTCTTTCTACT